AAATCTGCTGCATGTTTAGATGACTTTACCAGGGCTACTCCTCCATGTGCCAACCCAGACTGCTTCACTCTTTTAACCTAACCATCTTAACAACAGAGAAAGAACTATCTAGAACTGCTCCTAAATACTTCTATCTGAAAATGGCACACATCAGTCCACTGGCCAGAACTAGTGCTGTGGCCTCATCCTACAGCAAGGGGATGAGAGTGAAGTCTTCTGTGTGCCCGAAATGAAAGAAGTAGTGGATATTGGTGAATACAAGTCATGTCTACTGCTACTCAGCTAGGCACTGGGTACTAAGCAGTGACTGAAACAGATATCATATATCCTTCCTTCATGGAGCCTCTATCCAGAGTGGCATGCTCCTGAGTTCACTTGCCCAAGCAAGGCAAGAAACTAGATTCGAGTTTGCACTTGCTGGGCTCAGTGGCTCAGCCTGTAATCCCACGCCTTTGGGAGGCTGAGGTGAGTGGATTGCCTGAGCCCGCAGGTTCGAGACCCGCCTGGGCAACGAGACCTCATCTCTACAATAAATCAAAAATCAGTTGGGCGTGGTAGTGCATGCCTGTAATTCCAGCTACTCGGAAGGCTGAGGCAGAAGGATCACCGGAGCCCAGCAGGTCGAGGCTATGGTGGCCGGGAGTGGCCACTGCACTCCAGTCTGGGCAACAGAGTGAGACTCCAACTCAAAAAAAAAAAAAAGAGTTTGCACTTTTTTTTTGTATGACAGTTATGTGGGGAAATGGGAGAGGTTAACAGTTCAGTATAAGTGACAAATATGGAGAACTTAGAAATCCTCAAAAAATATTTCCTGCAGGAGTGTTAAGTGAGAAATAAGAAATTTAGCTCTAAAATCTAAACGAGAAAGGCAACAGAGAGAGAACAGATATAGGAAGAAAAAAACACATGGAAACAGTTTATGCTTTTCAAATGTTCTGAATAATATTTGGGAATAAAAGCTGTTCTTGCTGTATCTACTGCTTCCAGTAAGCTTGAAATATTTCCGCGCTGGTCTCTTCTGCCATAGTGGGGGTGCATAAGAATGCATTCCCAACCAGACTGTTTCATTCTTACCTACTCAAGTGTGGAAATTGTTGAGAAGCCTGGACCCTGATTCATCTTCTGGAATGTCTTTTGATGAATCAAATTGGCTTGATTGGCAGCTGTCAAATGTGGACGGCTCACAGGAAAGGAAGAATTATGCTTCTATAAAAACTGAAAATGTTACAGGATTAAGCCAAAAAACCTAGTAATACAACTTTATGGTGGAACATTAGAGAGATAGCTTCTTATAAGCTTTTTAAATGATTTATGTAAAAATGTTTATTAAAGAAAAAATAGGAAACATGTGAAAAAAGAAACATTTATAACAACTCCTAGAGATAATCCGTTTGGTATACTTCATCCCAGGCTTTTTTCTAGGCATGCACATCCATTTCTCTTACAAAAACAGATCACATAATATGTGCTACTCTGTCATCTCCCTTTTACTTAACAGTATTTCTTGAATATTCTTCCGTTTTAAAAAGAATATTTCTGCAACTTTTTTTAATGACTACATGGTATTGCATCATATGTGCATGTCAAAATATATTTATCATTCCATTAGGTCGTTTACAGATGGTTGTCATTATAAACAATGCTGTTGTGAACATACTCTAGCTGAATTTCTGTGCACAACTTTAATTATTTTATAGGGTAAGGTTTCTAAATTAGAATACCAGGGCAAAAGTCATGTACATTTTAAGGCTTATTATTTACATTACCAAATTTCCCTCAAAAAGGTTTGTTTCAATTTGCATTCCAGCCAGCAATGAATGAGAACAAAAGGTTTAGGAGCCCAAAAATCTACAAGTATGGTTGTAGATAATTGGTTGTATTATTAAATACACGCATAATCTTGATAGCTGTTAGCAGAAAAGGTCACTCAACATATTACCTTTAAATTCCCCTTCCTTCCTATGCATTTAATGTTTTATGCTAAAATCTTATCTATGAAAGTTTCACATTAGATTTCCCAGAAAAGAATTTAAGACAAATTCACGTTACGCTAACTGGGTTCATTAATATCATGGGTGCTAGGGTAAAAACCCATAGATGATGGTGAGTTCCTCACTCACCAAATCATAATGAGCTCTGCCATAGATTATCATCTGTGCCTTGATATATGGCTGTGGCCAAATGTTTGTACACATATGTAACAATACAAGGAGACAATTTCCCATTGTTCTTTAAAGAAAATCCCCTAAAACTTTTAACTAAATTGACTATATTGAACTATGAGTGACATAGATGAATTAATTGAGTATGTACTTACAATATGTGCTTACTAATTTAGACATGAATAATACTTTAAAGTATATATTATGAGGAATATTTTTAGAAGTACTGCTGTTTTCTCATCCTTATATTACTCATGGAGCAGTTTTGGTCCACATCCCATTCCCATGAGTCCTTGACCACAGAATAGTGCCACCTTTTTGGGCCATGGGTCTGCTTTCACCACCTGTCATCTGGAATTTAGTCTAAGTGGTTTGGGGTGCAGCACTTTGTGAAACTGTGTATGATGCCATAACTGGAAATATTTTCCCCAGCTATAAAAACCTACTTACTACTTCTGATCTCCAGTAATCACTTACTCTCTTTTTTTTAGTGATCTTTAAAATACTCGATTTCAACAGCATCCAGCACTTAGAATTGTTAGGTCATGTCTCCCAAAATAATTACCAACTCAGTATTAAATTTCTGTTTTTACCAGTCCCATCAACTGAATGGCTGCTAAAACTATCTAAAACTCATCAGTTGACGTTGTTTCAGGTTAATGCATGTTCCCCAAACAGTACTTTGTTCAAAATAAAGTAATTGAGAGAGTGCCTAGTATTATGAGAGACTTTATAAGGACTTTAGTTTAAAATGTCTTTTACTGAGGGATCATTTTGGAAAAGAAAAATCTCACCTTATATTCAGCCATATATTATGAGTTAAACCAAAAGAGGGAAGATTCAAACGAATCTCTTTTATGTTCTTATGCAAAGTGACTATTGAATATGAAAGTTTTGTCCACCTATAGGAAATAGCTAAAGAATACAGCAGGATTATAATGCAGGATTATCTTGTATAGAAACACTGAAAATAGAGATTTATTCTATACAGGGTTGTCTTGTATAGAAACACTGAAAATAGAGATTTATATAGCCTGCTGCTTTAAAAATATTCACATTAGAATCTTTTAAGAACTATAGCCTCTACCCGATTAAACTTTCTCCCAACCCCAAGCTTTATTTATGTTTATTTTAATACAAAAAAAAGAAAAATGAAGACATGGTCTCTTAGGTATCCATAGCCCAAATTTTGGAACTCAACATGAAAAATTTAGAAAACTGAGTGGCTAGATTTCCTGATAGTGTTACTCCCTCCTTGAGATATATTATATTATATTGTTTCCAATCTTTTCATCTAAGTATTTTCAAGAGAATCAGACTAAAGGAACATTTTACAGATTAGGTGATAGCTGTTTGATTGATATGGTTAAAGATAGCATATGGTATATTCTTTACTTCCAAACTGTTTTGTGTCTTTGTCCTTGCCCACAGCAGTAGTATGTATGAGAACTACCCAAAAACTTCCCAATGATACACGTGTATGATATGCATCATCTTAAAAAGTGATGAACATTTTGCCATTGCATTCTTTATTATTTGAACTAAATCAAACAGAGATATAGAGTTTAAAAAGTAAATGGTTATAGAACTCTTTAAGCAAGATCTCACAGTTTCCTGAGATTATAAATGCTATTTTAAAATGTTAATTAGAAGATGCATTTGTTTTAATTCATGATACTGAAAATATTGACTGAATTGTGAATTAACACATTTAGGGTTGCAGATGTCATTTTTCATGAGATCTTCTGAATGATATAATTTTCATATTTCATATAGCAGTTTGATCAATTTACAGATTTATTTTACATAATTAGTTGGTAAATGAGAAATTCAATTGCTGATATATAACTATTTTTTCATAATATAAAAAAGAAGTTAAGATTCTGAATTATAAATAAGAAAACAAATATTTTAAGACATCTGTTCCACATCTGTCTGAAATAAGATAATTTAAAACAGTGTAATTAAATGCAAGAAATACCGAAATATTCACACCTTAGGATGCAAAAAGAAAAAACCTCATTTCATTTTAATGTGATTTGTTGAATTGTAGAATTTTTAAAAAATTTTAGTACCCTTTAGCCTTTCATTCTGTCATTTTCAAAGAAAGACCAAGCTAAACAAACAAAAAATAATTCATGTGTTCCAAAGCTTCTCCTAAATGAAAGAATTATCTTTATTTCTATTCTTTTATATGTTACATAACTCCTCTCCTAAGTTATACTCAGTGGACATAGACTCAGACCTATCCCCTTTTGATGTATTTATAATTCTCCATTCAATGATTTAAAATGAGAGATTAGTGAGAGGGTTGCTAATCTTACTCCCTAAATTGGGTGTTCCTTGTGGGCACAAAGGGGTTCAGCAAATGTGAGAGAAAGGTATTCAGCCTCATGAAAATGAGAAGCATCTTTGGTACATTCTCATCATCTGTAGAGAATCATCCTTTGAAGGTTGGTCTTTACTTTATAAAGGAAATAAAAATCTGTGTGTTCAGTGGAAAATTAACCATTTTTGTAAAAAAGAAAATATACATTCTATAGTCTAGCTTTAAGATGTGAAAAACAAGGCAGATTTTCCCTTTAACAAAAAGCTGCAGAGCCTTAAAACTTTAACAGGACTGGGTTTGATCATAAGAGAGAAGTCTGTAGATGTGAAAACACTCACTGCTAATGCTACAGTGTAAGGTTATAGGGAAAAAAATCTCTGCGTGGATGCCAGAAGCTCCCCTAACTAGCAATAGACCACAAAAAGGATTGCAACTGTGAGAAGTAAACCCACTTTTTCTAACATATACCTTAAGGTAGCACAACTTATATTTTGTGTGTTTATTTCCAGGGAGCATGATAAAGATCCAGATCGTTTTTTTAAGGTATTAATGCGTCTTAAGGACCTAGGACTCAACTTCCACGTCTCTGTCCTTGGAGAAACCTTCACAGATGTCCCAGGTACCTCTTTTGAATTTTCTAATGTGTGTTTTTACAGATGACATAAGCTCTAACTTAAGTATTAATTTCCATGTTTCCCTTTGTTAGAATAATCAAGATGAGCACTGTTAACCAAAAGATTATACGATGGCATTAAAGTCTGATTCAATTAAAAAAATACTTAAGTAAGCATTCTTTGATTTAAGTTGAGAACGTGAAGTCATCTCTTTTATCAAATATAGTTTGTACAATGCATCTTGATGTAAATAAAATATATTGCTTTAGGCATCTTAACACTTAAGGAAAGTGGGAATTTGTAATTGGATATATAACCTCTCACCTCTGGGGTCACTGGTTTGAATCCTGCTCACATTGGTAATAGCTGAAATACATTACCATCTGTTAAAGGTGGCCTGTATAAAGCATTTTGGCATCTAACTTGTAATGCAGAATGAACCACAGTCCACATCATAGTTGTCATTGGTCCATTCCTTGTTTGTTGAACTTGAGAAAGACAAAAATCAGAAGCTGATAGCATAAGTCCTCTCATTCTTAACGCCACATGGAGCCTTTTCAGGGCCATTCCCTTTGCCTTCCATCCTCACTGGTCATATTTGGGTCAGTAAAGTTGAGGATTCATAAGCACTTACGTGTTCATATTTTTTAAGCTTTGGGTATTCATCATTGTTTGAAAACCAAATATACAGGCAACAAAATTTCAGTAATGACCTTTGCCATTGTGCATCATAACTCCTAAGGACCACCTAAAGTTTCTGTAGTCACTTACCAAGTACCTCTCAATTCTGGTATAGTGTTGGGAGCTACACCCAGCCTGTACCTCTCCTGTGACTCGTCTTCTGCCTTCTGCAGCTCTGGATACCTAACTTCTCTAAGTTCCTCCAAGGTACCACCCTTTTTTAGACCTTCAGACTTTTCCTATTCATTTCTATTTTATCCTTCTTATCTCAGCTCAGGGAGGCGTTTTGGTTTTTTGTTTTGTTTTGTTTCCATCTGAGGCTTTGTCATGGTCCCTCAATACCCCATACTTTGTGGTATTTACCTCAGTTTTGAATTATATATGTGTGATTTTTTTCATCACTCGCACACATGCACACGTGCACATACACACGAGAATGTAGGTGCTATGCGGATAGGGACTGTGTCTGTCTTGTTCATTGCTATACCCCAAAGTCCAGTGCAGTGCCTGACACAGTGCTGGAGCTCTATGAATACTTATTGGATAAATGGGTAAAGATAATATAGACTCCCTGCCTTCAAAGAATTTATAATTTTGCTAAGGAGGAAATACTGGTGTATATGCATAAGAAACAGAGAGTGAAACACAAGATATTATAACTATACATATATTAGTAGTGACACAGGTGATTTAGGATATTAATTGAAGGACTAATTCTTGAATAGCTAGAGAAAGATTAAGCTGTTCCAAAAGGGGAAACAATATAAGCAAAGCACATAAAAGCAAACATTTCATAAGTATGTTTAAATGAGAGAAAAACGTCAATGATTAGTGCTTGGAATCACGAATCTAATAGAACAGGAAATTCTGCATGCAGACCTTAGTAAGTAAGTTCATACATATACTACACAGGTAGGGTAGGGCCAACATCTGGAGAATCTTCATATGCTAAGTAGGTTAATAAAGATAAGGAATGGGGAACCTAGATCTTGAACAGGGAAGGCATATAATGAAACCTGTCTTTTAGGAAGCTGTGTCTTGTGATGAAAGGTAGGCAGAATTACAGTAAGGCCCTATGGTGGTCATCCAGGTGTGATTCTGTGAGGTGGTAGCAGAGATTAGTGAGAGGGCTGTATGAGAGGGATGTTCTCAAGGAAAACAGAAAAGAATTAGGTAGGTGAATGGTTGTGGAGAAAGGGGAAAAGAAACACATCAGTTCATTTGCAAAGCTGTTAAGTCCAGTTTTGTTTGTGCCAGCTTTGAGGTGTTTGTGGATGGACTAAGAGAAGAAGCTGGAGGAAGTCCCTCAACAGAAGGCATCTAAGCCAGGTTTCCCATTGGGTAATTATAGGCCACCACTACAAAGAAGGTTAGGTTTTTACTCAAAGGGCCATGTTCTTGGGATCACAGCTTTCCTCTCCCACACATTGACCTTGAGCTATTTAGAACAATGTGGAGGTTGAAATGGGATAGTCATGGAGTAATTGGAGGTCCAGGACCCCAGTGCTCAGTAATTACAGATTGCCTTAATTGCTCACTTTGGCTCCACTTCCACACATACTTACTGAGCACTGTGGAAGGGAGCTTCCGCAGTAAACAGCATTCAGTGTCCCTCTCAAGGAACTCTGCCCTGGGGAGACACTTAATTAGCAGGTAACTAGAATGCTGTGAAATACTCAGGGAGTGCGTGAAAGCCCACATGAAGGGTTAGCATATTGTCTGTGTACATGCTTCTGTTACTCCCAGCCTCCATTGGGGATTTTTTCTTCCTCAGCCACTGGTGAATCAACTTTTTATGGCCACGGCACTTCGCCTTGCACAGAGGAGGAGGCCAAGTGTTGAGTGGATAGGTGAGCCTGGTAGCTTCCAGGTTGTGCCCTTAGAAGGCCACTTGGCTAGATTCTACCTTAAAGATCTCTTAACAGGCTACCCTGTGTAACTTCAGCCATTCTTACCACCCCTCTGGGTTATTTAACAAATACTTACACAACATTGGCTGTATTCTAGGTGTTGTCCTAAGCCGTTTACAAATATCAGCTGTTTAAGTCTTGATAACAATTCTGTTAAGTATTACTGTCTCCATTTTTCCCAGGTGGAGAAACTGAAGCACAGAGAAATTAAGTAGACCACACAGACAGGAAGTATGTTACCTACTGTGACGTGCTGCCTTTTCATGATCTTGTTTTTGGACCCAACTGTTTCTCTAACTTTAAACATTACTTTTTTTTACCCATCTCACCATCCAGCACTCCTATTCTCTTATTGTCTTTTCCACAAAAGGGCCACCTAGCAGATATGCGTGTCTTTGTCTGTTACCTCTTCTTGGTACTACAGTAGCATATATAAAACCCAGATCATAAAACCAACATATATACTATGTGATACTGGCCAGAAGAATTGCTCTCAGCATTTAACCTGTGAAGAGAATGTGACTTTCTTGTATTAATAAATTGCAATAATAATTATTATTATGTTATTAATACCACCATTCATTGAAAGTTTACTTCTTGCCTGATCCTTTGCCTGGTTATTTTGTGTAATGCTCAGGATAATCTTAATGAGGTAGGTTGTTTTGTTTTTTTATTTCATAAATAGTGAAACTGAGACTCTGAAAACTTAAATCACTTTGATCGCACTGACTGTCCTTGAGCCTAGCTTTTGTGTGCATGTGTATGAAATACAAGGCTGGATGGATTGGAAAACCAAGAAAGATATACTATATGACAGCAGGACCACCGACCACTCTTTATCCAGCTTAATTCGCTTTCCCACTTCATAGAACTCTTAAGGAAAGTAGCACATTGCTGAGTTATGACGTTAGTTCAACAAGTTTTACTGGCCTTTTTAATGAAGCAAACAATCAACATTAAATTTATTTTGAAAATGCTAGAACTGACTTTTATTGAGCACTTAGTATGTGCCAGGACTGTTCTTAGCATTTTATCTATTATTTAGTCTTTTCAATAGCCCTATGAATTAGATAGCATTGGAATTACCATTTCCACTGAGAAAAAGTAAGGCACAGAGGGGTTAAATCACTTACCTGAAACCACCCAGCCAGTTGATTAGGAAGCCACAATTGAAACCTTGTCAGTCTACCTCCAAGGTAAATGCTCAGTTTACGCTCTACATAGAAATGCACAAAAGCATACCTGCTTTATAGGTTAAAAAGCAGGAAGTTCCCTGGCCGTTCATGTGAAATTATTTCCCTTTTCTCTGATAATCTCTTTGCAAATGTAAAATTAAAAAAAAAAACAAATACACTTCATAAATATCTCCCCTACCTAGTTGTAAAAATGGATTTCCTCCTTTTTCTTCTGGCTTTCATCACAAGAATGGTGTCAAAAGCAATATGAAGTGAAAAGATACTCCAGATAGATAATACTTGGTACATATTTAGTGTTCAGTAAATATTATTTGAGTGAATGAAAGAAGGAGTTTGGCATAATAGAATAGTATAGTTTACATACTTTATGAGGTATGTAGAAACCTACATTGAAACAATTTTCAAATACTAAAGAGAATGAAAGTAGAGAATGTTTCAGGACTGAACCCTAAGACTTAAGCAAGTTCTAGGTGATGTTATGTTTTCAGTTTTAATATAGGTGAACTTGACTTAATGTCATTTTTTAGTTATTTTTTTCTCATCTCTCAGCTCTTACATTAGTAATCATAAGCTGAGTTATGCTAAGATAACAGGAAAGCTTAAAATCTCTAGCTTAAAGCATGGAAGACTTATTTCTTGTTCATGTTTATTGAGACGAACAGGAGTGTTCTACTCATTATGCACACTTGAGCACCCAGGCTGATAGAAAGACGCTAGTGACCACTGTCTCAAACATTACCATTGATCATGCCAGAAGGAAGAGAAAGCTCAGGAGGGTCTCTCATCAGCTATTAAGTGCTCTGGCCTTAAAGAGGCTTCATTCAACACTCTGACCAGGCTCGTCGCAGGGCACTGCCTAATCATGAAAGGAGCCAGGGAAAGCATTCCTGCTTTGTGCCCAGAATGGAGGAAAACCAAAATGTTTGGTGAACTCCACTATTGATCACTACAGCTCTTCAATATACATTATTATGGTCTGTGGCTCCTCAGACTGAAAAATCTATCCAAGATTTCTGTCTTAATGTGAGTAAGGCTGTCCCAGTTGAGTAAAGAGCTCTTTAAAAATATTAGTACAGTAGTCCTTCCTTATTCAGTTTTGCTTTCCATGGTTTCAGTTACCCACGGTCATCTGCAGTCTGAAAATAGGTCATTACAGTACAATAAGATATTTTGAGAGGGAGAACACATTCACATAACTTTTATTACATCATATTGTTA